AGAAGAAGAAGAAGAAGAAGAAGAAGAAGAAGAAGAAGAAGAAGAAGAAGAAGAAGAAGAAGAAGAAGAAGAAGAAGAAGAAGAAGAAGAAGAAGGTGGGGAGGAGGAGGAGGAGGAGGAAGAGGAGGAGGAGAAGGAGGAGGAGAAGAGGGCAGATATAGCTCAGTGCAAAGGGCCCAGTTTCAACCCCAGGTACCCCAAAAAGAAAAGACATGTATGTCAAAAAGAAAAACAATGTCCTAGTTCCTAGGTACAGTGCTCGAGGACTCAAGACCACCACAGTTGAACGCCCATATCACAGCAAAACAAAACTAATGTGCTTCCTTTATGTGCTCTTAAAAATGATCGATTTGGAATATAGTATGATGTGTACTTCTTTAAAACAAAACTTCATTTTCTACAAGGTTTGCTATTCTAAGTGACTAAAGACTGCCTTCCTGAAAACTGTCAGCATGCGATGGTTCACTCAGAATTCCAAAATTCAACACACCCATGCTGCTTGTTTTGTATTGCAAAAAACAAACACCTTAACTGAAACAGAACTGCAAACCAGAAAAATACAGACGCAAATACTTCATTCAGTTCATCCACCCACGCAATCGAAGATTATTTTTATATGACAAAGAAGGTTCGATAACAATTCTTATCAACATGATGGAATGTGAATCTGGAATATTACAATAGGATGGGTCATGTGGGACATGTGAGTATTAATGATATTTCATACTGAATAAACAAGTACTTTAAAATTGAGTTTCCTATACCAATTTTTCCTAGGACACTTCAAAACAGGTTTAAAGAAAAGTTCAGATTTTGAGTTTCTGAACTCTTATGTAACTTTTTAACCTCCTACATTTGCAAATTACAGCCTTAGAAATGCTTCTGTTTCTAATATGTACTATCTCAGTCAACACTATCTTGCTCACAAAAAAATTTATTAATAGTGAAGGAAGCATTTCTTCCCTAACATATAGACCCTCCCCCCCACCAGCCACACACACACCTCCACTTGTTGGTACTTTAAAAGTTCCAATTATGATGATTTCAGACGTTAACAAATCATTATTTAGGTCTGTCCCTCTGATAGGGATTGCTACATATTCCACTGCATGAACTCACCCACATCACCAGAAAAAAAGAAACAAAAAACATCCAGATGTTGAATTTTCAACCACCATCATCGAGCCGCATAGCTTCAATTGCATGAAAAGACTCACCTCTCCCTGCTTCGGGACGCTGAACTTAGAGAGCTTGGCCTTGGCCCTGGCTGACTCTGGCTTGCCGGCTGGGACTCCTCGGTAGGAGGCACAGTGCACGCCAGCTTCCGTGGATGACTTCAGCTTGGGAGACTCATCAGGAGCTTGATCCTGGCCGTCCATCGGCCGCACATATGCGGTTGGTTTCTGCTGGACCAGGCTGGGTTTTGAAGCCAGGGATGGAGGAAAGTTCTGAACACAGTGTCCACCGCTGCCGTGCTTGGTGGCCATTGCAGGTGGCCTTTCCTGGGTTGGAAGCCCCACGTCTACAGTGCCCACTTGCTTGGCCCGTGGCTGCTGTCTGACAACACCATCTCCAAGCAAGGTCCTGAGAGAGCCCTGTTGTGCTGAATTGAAAGAAGAAGATGAGAAAGAGCGACTCGACAGGGAACAACTTAGGTTTTACTCTGGTTCTTTGGGTTAGCAGACTGCAAAGCAAGTGCCCTACACTCCCGCTTACCTGTTCTCTGCTGGCCATCGGATGGTGGGTGCCCAGCCTTCTGCCAGCCCACGGCGCCTCTCTTACTCTGCTGCCCAGGGCCAGCTGCTGGTGTGGAGGATGCAGTGCTACAGACAGATGGGGGCTGGGGCTGGGCTCTTGAATCTGCAACAAAATGTTCATCGATCTTGTTCACAGGAGTCTGAGGAACCCCTGGTTTGGGGACGCCAACAAGATGACTCTGATTGGATCTATCAGTTAAAAAGTCTTTCATTTCATCATAATTGCCTAAAGTATTCTGGATCCGGTTGGAGAGCTCATCCCCCTTGTTAGTCTGGAGAAAGAAAAACACATCCATGCTATGGTTAGAGACAACAGAAATGGAACAGTGGACAGGTGCCCTCATGGGTCACACAGCCAGGCTAGCCTCACGCAGAACGAGAGCTGAGAGATGAGATCAAACTCCTTATGGCCTCTGCAGATGCCTGTCAGCCCTCCATATCACTCCATAATTGGTAGCCCATTGCGACTGGTCTTAGGGTACGGAAAGGAGGCTGTCCTGGATATCACACTGCAGTGAAATGATACTAACTGGAAATCAGAAAATTGACTATTGCAAATTCACAAAATAGTCTAGCTTAGGTCTTCCTGGGATTGAATTTTCTTATCCTTTTTGTAGTTGCAGCAGAGGAGACTTTAAAAAAAAAAAAAAAAAAAACCTTCAGCCTTGGTTCAGAGCTGGTCTGCTTCCAATTTTCAAATAGGTAATTACTCTTGTCAGAGACCCAGAGTGACAGGGAAGAGAAATTGAGGTGAAACTTAGAATGTGGGGCTAAGCCCTGTGCAGCCTGTGGTACTAGGGAAGCTTGGAAAGAGATTCCATTTGGGAACAAAGGTTATATATCTGACCTTTGGTAAAAATGAGAAATGATTCTACAATTTTGTTTCCATTGCCTTGTTAAGTACCCTGAAGAAAAAAAAAAAGTACCCTGATCTTCACATGATTCGTACATGTCAAACATGTAACCCAATTTCTTTTGAATCCTATTTGTTTTCTAAAAGCTGAGAGAAAAGCAAATGTCACTGGCTTTGAAATATCAATATAGAGATGGACTCTGTGTTATGGATAAAAGTCACAGCAAGTGGATCTCAATCTTAAACAGAAGTGACCTTTCACTGAAGCAGGAGCCAGGAAAGGCACAGCAGCCAGACACTAGGACCTTGGCATGGTGGCTGAAGAGGCAGAGCCTATCTGGAGTTTGACGTGTGGTCAGTCCCTCTGTCACGACCGCCTTCATGGCGGGGTGTGGTCAGTGTGGGGTCAAGGTGAGCAACCAAAGCTGTCTACCTTGTAGGGCTCACTGAAGAGGGAGTAGCTGGAGGTGAACGTGCCCCCATCCTGCTGCGTCTCCTGGTTTCTTCTCTCCCGTTCCTTCCTCCGTAACGCATTCCTATCTGGCTCATAGACACTGTACAAGGAGAAAGAAAAGAGAACAAACCCAGCACATCATTTACCTGAGTGTAGACATCTGGGTGATGGACAAAGAGCGGAACAATGAGCACAGAGATCCCACAAAACCAGCCTAATCAGGCCCTAGGAGCCCACTGTCTGACAGCGACCTTTGTTTGCGGAGAGAAGTCTTTAGAGCAGGTTTCCAGTAGTTCGAGGCCTCTCCGCCTGATACGGGAAAGAGGAACCATTTAAACCACTTTGACAGGAGAAGGACTGAGGGCAATAGGAAGGCAGACGTTAATTACAGTGATGTGTAAACAGGAATTATGAGCACACTTCCTCTGGTGACACAGCCTCTGAGTGTTACATGGGAACACTTCTGGTTGGGATTTTTTTGGGGGGGGGCACAGTTGTGTTTCTGTAGTGAATCTTTCATTAACTAGCTCCCTAAAGGGCTATTATGATGCCCTGCTGCAGCACTTTCCCAGTTATGAGCCGTCTTCTGATCTCTGCTGATCAGTCCTCAAATGCCCACTGTACCATCTGACAGGCTTGCTCCTCCTATCTTTGAAAGATGCTCCAAGAGGAAAAGGTACACAGTCCATGGAAGGAGAGAACAGACACTGAATTACATTTTGTCATCAAGAAGAAAATTAAGGCCGGGGAGACGGCTCAGTGGAATAAGCGCTTCCCTGGCAAGCATAAGGGAGTGAGTTCAATCCCTGGTTCCACCAATAAATAAATATTAGTATTTATTTTCCCAAAATACAATTACTAAGTGGGCAGACACCTGACAACTGGAAGAACTACAGGAGGAGTCAAGTGTTCTTCCTCCAGTATGAAGAAAATACAGGGGCTAATGCAACTGGTGAAAGCAAGTGGCCTGTTCTTTGGTGGAAGGAAACACTCTGGATCCCTCTGACTCGCTGGACTCAGGGTACCAGCAGAAGTCCTACGGTACTACCAACCAGAAGAGCGAACAAGCTCTACAAGCCGGCACCGACCTCAATGCCCAGCAGAAACATTTGATGTAAGGGACCTCTCTCTGTCATTGTTCAGCACTCCCAGCTGACCCAGCGCACAGGTTACTGGGGTGGGGGACCAGGACCCCAAGGGCTAACTGGAGCTGTCTCCTCCCCAGAGGCAGACAACAGAAAGCTGCTCAATCTCTCCATACCTGTGTCTCTGTTAAAATTCAGGGACATCTTACGGTGTTACGTAAGGTACCAGAGCGAAGGCAATTTATGAAAGAGCTCAGCAGCTGTTTTAGTGCTTCAGATTCCAATGTACTGCTTATGAAGGTAGGGTTAATAATAAAAGGATATGTGCGTGCAAAAGAACTCAGGAAAATAAAAATGTTTAAAGCTAAATAGCTATGTGTCATAAAACAGAGTATTTTTGTTATGTAGCATTTGGGAACACAAATAACACAACTGTAAAATAAGTATTGCTTGTCCTAGCCCTGCCTGTGTGGCCAGAGCATATTTTAAATTCTCTATCTACAGAGTGATGCAAAACATGCTTCTGGCAAAGCTGCTACAACCCCTAAGGCATTTAATTTAAATTTAAAATTAGAGAATGTTAAAATATCCAGAACATGGAGACGATTAGCATTTTAATTCATACTTAGTACATTACCCAAAGTTATTTGGTTTGGGAGTCCAACCAGTGTCCTTCAGATAAGGGAGGCTGCAGGCTCTGGAATCTTCTACCAACCCAGAAGCCCACAGCTCCAACATCACAGTCACTTTCCAGGGCGGCTGTGGCGACAATGACTGACACAGAGAAGGCGAGGTGGAAAGCATACTCTCATTTCCAGAACCAAGCTTCAGGTTGAAAGGGGAGAGTATGAATGTCCCATGCCCCCCCCCCACTAGTGTACATCTATCAGATGAAAGCCAAGTTTTCATGAACATTCCATGAGTTGCAGATGGAGACAGCTCTGAGGACACAGGATTCATGCTACAAATGAGCATGGAGAGGGCTTTAACCAATAGGAGAACTCTGGTTCTATTATAAACTTGTAGCTTTTAGTCCAACATTAGCATTTGCTCTAAAATAATAATAATAATAATAACAATAACAACAACAATGAAAAGTTGCATGGCATGTATCAGAACTCTCCTCTTGTCTCCGCCCACAGTATGGAACTTCACAGAGACCTCTGAGAACATGCTGGCCACCCACACCAGTCATGGCAACCAAACACAGGACAGTATGATTCATGAAGTGGTCTTATGTAAGATGGAGCAGGCAGGTCATGGAGGGTGATGTGGGGCTTCAGAGATAGGTCCAAGCCCAAAGTAATACCTCCTGCATCTGCTGGCTGATGCCTGAAACTCCACAACTAGAGAGTCATTCCTCTGGTTTAAGATGTCTTCACCCCTGTAAGAAATGCAAACACCACAAGAAGAGAAAACACTTTAAACCTGGCCAGCCTTTGTTCAGCATCACAGTGTGAGAACGTTTTTTAGCATTTTGTCCAAAGGCCAAAGGGAAAGGACAAGGGCATCAATGTCCAAAGACGGTAGAAATGGGAGGCGAGACAGAAAAGGTCAAGACAAAGGGGAGAATGTAGACAACAAATTACAAACTCTACTTATTTTGCAACACAGCTTGGATGTTTAAGTCAAAGGCAATAGGACGAACACCAGAAGGAATCCAGCAGACCCCAGACTCAATACATTCCCAGGGCCTGGGAGGAAAGAATATGTCATAATTTGCAAAAGCTGGAGATGTGCGGAAGCTCCTCCTCTCCAATCTGCCTCGCTCCCCAGGCTGTAAGCTTGAGGGTACCAGAAAGCACTCCACAATGCAGCTCGCTGCAAGTAGCTATGAGCGGCCCCACTGAGTAGGAATAGACCATTTCCACATCACGCACAGGTGGAAACACAGCACCGTCTCTGCACAGGACTGCCACAAAGCCTGTGCCCTCCCTACTTGCCATCAGGCACAGTCAGGTGACTTGATATTCACCATCCCCACTTCTTCAAAGGATGGATAGGAAACACAACAGCAAGGCCAGCCTGTCCCCACACCTTCTCTTTGGTGTCCCTCCGTGTCCCTCACCCTCACAGTCAGTCATGCAAGCTCCGCTGAGCTCCAGCCCTTCCTGAAGGTAATGCACCCACTCCTTTTCTTTCACCAGCACCACAACCCCCGCATGTCATTTCAGACCTTGGGAACTAAAATGTCACCTGCTGAAAGCAAATGCCATTGTACAAGACAGTCTGGACTTCCCACTCCCCCTCCCGCCCTGAGCATCTGGACTCTCTCTCACTTTCCCACCAACACTAAATGTTCTGAGTCACAAAGACGAGCTGCTCACAAAGAGCCATTGCTCCCCTAATTACGAGTGAAATTTGTGCAAGCACCCACAAGTCCACCCAGTGTCTTTCTCTTCATCTCTTGTCTTAAAAGCTTGGCCTGCTCTGTTTCTCTGCCCTCCAGGCAACGTAAAGACCTCCATATCGTCATTGACTTTGGAAGCAAACAGCGCTTTCACTTGATGCCCTGGAAGGGAGGTCAGCTTCACTGCGGACCATGACTTAAGTTTCAGGGTCCCCATTCCTGGCAGACCGGTATACACACTGAACTCGGTAAGCACCCTGTGTTACAAGCTGTGTCGCTTTACCAGTGGATGGCAAAATCTCTATCATCTGTAAAGTTATTCCTCCTTTCCATAGAAATTACAAGACTCATCACCCCCAAGAGTATGTTGCCAAATGCATTTATATATTTTGCACAGAAGTGGAGGAGCTAACTGCTATGATATGATATTATTTATTGCAGATGTAGAACATTCCTAGAAAAGAATCCTTGGAAGTCAACTCTTTTTAAAAGACTTATTTTTAGATTTTTTAAAAAACCAGTGAATGAAAAATGTAGTGAAAACGTTTCTGGTTATTTCCCTTTTCTATTTTTTTTTTCCTTATGACACTGGGGATTTGTTTTTCATCTATAAATTGAGGTTTCTTGGAGGGCTCGAGCCAAAGCCAATTTTGGTGGCTGAGAATGAAGTGATGTCTACACATAAAATTATGAACCAAAATTAATTTATTTGTAATCATATAGTGCTGACATGAAACTAAATAATAATAGTAATGATGATGATGATGATGATGATGATGATGATGATGTCTATGAGCCCCACAGCTTCTTTCTACAGAGCTCAAAACATTTTATCTGTATGTCTATCTCTATTCACTATCCCTACAATGTCCCTTCAAGAAAGACAGCAACTGTCTTATTACTAGGCTAACTTTTTAATTTAAAAGTCAAGGAACTTAAGACTTAGTCGCCGAAATGCTGTCATAAAGAGGACATCGTGTAGAAGGAATGGTGGCATCCAAAGTGCTCTATGTATTGGTACCCAGGGGAGAAGTGCTGCCCGCTGCCCAAGACACGGCCACACTTCCAGGACCTGGCATCCGCACACTGAGTACTGATCAATGCTGGCTGTGCATCCTGCAGAAGCAAACAGGACCCATGAAACAAAGGGCAGCTATTTCCCATTCAGAGAGAACCATGAAAAGAATGGTGAATAACCTGAAATAACTGTTCATAGCTCCCATGCAGTAAAAGAAAAATTCAGCCCCTGCCTGCAGCGCTTTCACAAAGCACCTCTGTGTAACCCAGACCTGTGGGACACCATGGATGAGCAAGTAGAGAAATTTTGTGTAACTACAGAGCCTTAAGCCAGCCAGCTGGAGTACACGGTATCTCAACTTTCATCAAATGCAGCCACTCATCAACCTGCGTCCATCTCTTCCCGCGCTGCCCTGCTGGGTAAAAGGTGCTGGAGCCAGCTTGGCTGCTCCACAGATGAGCACCAGGTGACCCACAGACCAGCTGGCCAGGAGGCAGAAGGCATCGTGGTAGAGGAGCATGCCGAAGAGTCAGTGGGCACACAGCAAGCCAGAAGCCAGAAGGGCTCAGGAGCCAGGCTTGCTCTTTTCACCACAGCTCATGCTCAGGCACTAACCAGAGTTCCGAAGACTACCTTAATCCCTTTCT